CGAATTTGAAGGCTGATATGCTGAAATGATCTTCGTGAAAAGTATGCGAACTTCAGTGGCATGCGAAGTAGCTATCGCATTGTCCATCTGTTTCCAGTGATTATCATGTCATGTGGCTTGCTTCTCAAAAAGTTGCACACACTGTACCATTCACACACTGCGGCCGCATGCCGGACCCAAAGTACGGCAGAGGTTTTAGATGGGCCTCGAACCCGACCAAGGTGACTAGGGTGTCCCTATCCACCCGAACCAATTGGAACCAAGGATTAAATGCAAAATGCACTTATGCTTTGGGGCGCTGATCAACGACAGCAGTCGGAAAACTTTCATTAATGGTAAGAGTGAAAATCCTACAAAGCGCTTTATAGCAGTTCACTTATTGACCCCTTTGATACTTGCTGATCTCATCTCGTTCAAGGCCAATAATCGCAATGTTCCTTTCTTTGGTGACGTACTTGCAAACGTATTTGATCGATTTCACCAAACTGCAACTCAACATTGAAATAAGTTTTGAATGTGAATTAGAAAAGTGGCCAATATGGTACGATCCATGTGTCGTCAACTTCGACATTCACTCCTCTAAATTAAATGCTAAATGTTCTGCCATTGTGCTCAGTATATCCAGTAATAAACCTTTGCTTTGTTTGCATACATATACTCAACTCTAGAAAATCTTATGGTGTTGTGTAACACTTTTTCTACTACTTTCATGGTAATCAAGGTGTTGTGTTAGCAGTTAAGCTACATATACATTTTAAATTTTGATGACCAACGCTTTAAAAGATATTAAATAACGCAAGTGTTAACGTCATTTAAGTGATTATATGGAATTACTTTGCATATCTGTTCAATTGTATTGGGATATTACTTGTTGTTTAATGTTAACTCAGTTGTTTTTTGTTTTTTTTTGTGCAATTTTTAAATAATTTAATATTTCTAAATTTTTGGATGCAGTAGGATGCAATCATGGGTGGTAATTTGTCGTTTGAAATATACAAATTGACAATGCGTTAGCCGTTATAAGAAAACATCAAATGGAAATTGAGTTTGAAATACATATTAGTGTTAATAATAAAGTTTATTATTAAAACCAAATAAGTGTGGTATGTTAATAAAAATCGTTTTATTTCGTTGGAATAAAAAGTACTTGAGAAATACATATGCTAATAAATTAAATAATCCGAAAATAATTATATGTATACATTTATATGCAATTTCAGATACTTATAAAGAAATAAATATTGTATCGTTTCTATCCGTTTTATCGTAAATAGTATACGGATGAGAATTAGAACGATGTAGAAAATCCAGCTTCAAATGTTTAAATATTTTCTATCTTCTTCTTTCTACATTAAAATTATTAGTAGTAATATTTCAAAAACTTCCGAATACAAACCGTTTTATGTTTTCTGTCTGTCAATTGTAAACAAAATATTCAGAAGAAAACTCACCACCGAGAAATCTAAAAACAGGGCTGCATTTTATTAATAAGAACTCAGTGCATAAAGAATAACATGACACACTATGGCGTCTAAATCAACTATTAGTAAATATATGTCATTAATAAAGAATTTCCTTTTATATTAAGCAACAATATTTATAGTTTTTGTTATTTAATACAATAAATTTGCTAAGTATTTACTACCACTATTCACCCCTCATAAAGCTACCACGAAAAGGTTATCTACTGTATATACTGTGGTCTTGTGGGGCGGTTACTTAAAAGGCTAACTCTGGCAGAGAATGTATAAACATAGAGAAGGTGCAGGTTCGATGTCGAACAATTTATAAAATTGTGATACGGAATTTCACCTCACAACTACAGAATTCACGCTGTGAAATGTTACTATTTTTAACAGTTCTCCACATATTCAAACAGAGAATATGAAGAGAAATAATGTAGGTACGGTATATGATGCCATAGCATGTATGCGCAATCAGGGAATATTGAAGGAAAATAAGTTCTTCGATATTCCACTTTTAACAGCGAGAAATTCATTCAGAAATTCTAGTAATGACTTTATCGCTTATCAATATATTACATGTGCGCGCATTGATCTACATGTTCATATATGTACATTAGTTTATACTTATATGTACATATATTTGTATACATTGAAAAAATTGAAACGTTGTTCTACAAAAAACAACAACTATCTTAAATAGCATATGCCAAGTCAATATGGCAGCCGAATTGGCGAAGCCCAATTGTAGTAAATTTTACAACAAAAACGATTTCATTCATAAACGCAGGCGCAAATTCCACAAGCGACCTCGCTTYATTCATAAAAACAGACGCCGTAACATCTCCCCGAGCATGCCTTTGTCTACAAGCGCCTTTTCGCGACGATGGCAAAAGCTAAAAATCATAAATTGAACATCTTTCTGGTGTTTTCTTCTAAGTGAGAAAAGTGGCAACATAGCTGTTGTCGATTTACAATATTTGTCAATTCTAAAATATTTTTCCGTGGCTCGCAAAAATCAGCGTCGATATGTACATACAAAACAAAACATACAAAAACATACATATAAACGCCAGCTTGATGGCGAAGCCGTTCGAGCAGCAAGGAAAGAGGTAATAATCGCCGATTGTTTGTTAGTTTCTTTCGGTACAGCTCGGATTTTCTACCAACAACATAACGTTGTGATGACTCCTTGACAATACGAGAGCTTCGGCCATTGGTTGACCGTGACAACGGAGATGCGAAAGATTCGTGCGGCACTTGTTATTATGAATGTATGTACATATGTATTTATCTCGCATTTGCTTTCGTAAACATACAGACAAATGTGCCAAAGAAATAATATATGTATACATATGTATGCAATAGAAATTCTATTGCTACAAATATGGAAATGGTAACGAAATAATGCGAATATGCCTATTTCGTGAAGGTCATCAACTTTCTTTAAAGAAATGAAGTTCATTTGGCACTCCTTCACTTCGTAAGAGTGGAAATAAATATAATTTGTTTGAAATATTAATTTATTTTAAAATTAAAAAAATTAAATTAAAGAGAAATAAAATTAAAATTATTTTTATCGAATTTTTCCCGATTTTTTAAAACAAATTAAATTTTTTATAATTTTTCGTATAATAAAAAATAACCACGCATAAGCGACAATGCTTCATATAATATAATACAATATAAGCATGCAAATTAATTCCCGCAACGAGGGAATTTAAAAAAAAATATATGTTTTATATTAGCGAACGCGCGGATAAAATAAGAACACGTGTGGTTCCTGTGGATTGCCAGATACAAATCAAATCTTTATTTCTGATTTACTAATATTTGTAAATACATTTTTGACTTATTTACTTAAAGTTAAAGCTAAAGCTGAAGTGTAAGCATCAGCTTGATTGAATCTAGAACAAAGAGTTAATTACAATATTAGCTGTGACAGCAAATTCCAGCAGAACGTTAAGCGTTCTGTTTTCTTTACGATTGTTATTGTTATGCCATCTTGTGAGGGCGAACCATATTGTTTTGATCACAATGGATTATTGGATTGAGAACGGAAAAAGCATATTGAATTCTTAAATAATCAAAAACGTTAATTAAGATTTTAAAGTGTACCTACTTGCAAAATGCAAAGATTCAATTTCATTTACAGTTATGGTAAGGTTTCTATGCGGAGGCTATCTTTAACTTGCATATGTGATTCTTTACATTCTTTGTGTGACTTTGTATTTTTTTCTTCAAAGTATTTCTCTTTATTCATCCTCCCATGATTCAGTCGTGTGAGCCTGAGGACGTGCTCAATTCTGCTAAATAGCAGCGAGAATGGTGAAATTCCGTATCACAATCTTATAAGTTCTGATAGCCGTCCAATCGAACATCATACAGAATTCAATTTGCACCTTCTCTATGTTTATACATTCTCTGGCTTGGGCTGTCATACGTTGCTGGCAAAAAAAAAAAAACGCCAACCGATATTAGCGCGACCTCTTCGTGGTTTCGTAACAAATTTCAATCCGTAATTGATCACTTTGTATGAAACACACATAAAGTCTGAATAATTTTTAACAATTTTCTTTTGAATAGAAGGAATAAAAAAGCAAGCTACCAAGATTGAACGATTCAAATAATTTACAAACCAAAGTATTGATAAACAAAACAAACAGAAATTGAGAAAAATGGTATGGGAAAAATTTCCTTTTTGGAATTGTCCAATTTTCCGATTTTTCCTCATGACTTTTTATTTTTAAACCTTCCACAACGAACAATTTCCGAAAATTTCATCAAGATTGGTGCAGCCGTTCTCTTAGCGTTACTAACAAACAAACATTCATTTTGGCCAAATTAGTCCAGGAGTTATTGAGTTATGCGCTTAGCAACATATTTTGCGGTTCATTTTTATATATAAGATATGTATTTATTTGCTTTGGGTATTAGAAGTTTTGATAGCATCTGAAATGATCATGCCGTCGCACAGGTTCACATACGCTACATGTACAATGCACAACAAAATTGCTACAACAAATTTAAAAAAAACCATACGTATAAAGTACATATACTCACATATGTACTTTTATGTGCACGAAAATAAATTTGAAATACGCATAATGTTAGTAAATTTGCCTACATACAACTTTATTTGTAAATTTATACACCCATTGTTTCATACGAAATATCCGTTGTCGCGGACTTCACGTTTTGTCAAAAAACCAATTTGTCGAAGGTCTGACGCGACGGCGTATGTTTATGTGTGAGCTTGCATACATTTCTATGCAGATATTTGCGACCCGCGTAAACATATTTTAGAATTGCAAAATATTTTTTTCATGAGATTTATTATAACATTTTACACGATTAAAAACTATAACTTTTAAAACTAGTTATACTAGTTAATAATAAAACGTAGAACAAGTATGAAGTGTCATCAAAATAATTTTTAAATTTAATGCATTTCAACTAAACTTAATTTATTTAGTTTTTGCGAAAGGCATTTTAAATCTCGGAAAGTGTTAATAAAATATATTATATGCAACTTACCCTAAATGTTACAGTGTAATTGTTATTAAACGAAACGTTTACTTTTGTTGTATGTTCCTTATATGTTAGTGGACCAATGTCCTCAACTTTAATTTTATCGTCAATTCCAGCGAAATATTTGTCAATATTTGTGTAGTTGAATATGTGTACTTTTAGTAGAGTGTCATATTTAGGATTTGGATTCATCCAATTTTTTGTGCTTTCGGAATCATTTTTTAAAATTATTTGCTGAAATTAAAAAAATGCGTTAAAGTTTTTGCAAAAATATTTTTAGTAACCATTACCGAAAGCATCGTGTCGTTATAATATTCTGTAAACCACATGATAAAAAATCCTGTGATACTTATTATGAAAAGTAACAACATTACTCCTAAAACTAAGGAAAGAAACACAAATAATTAATATACTGAATATTAAATTTACGAAGTTTATATAAATTTACTCAATGTTAAGAACTTACGTATTAACGTTCCGAATTCTTTGGACCCTTCCTTTTCTTGTATTCCAGTTAGTTCAAAAACGGTAGTGACTAAATGTTGTTTTTGCACTACATTTTCTTTACTAGAGTTTCTACTTACATTTAAAGAACTTTTCCTACTTAGAGATCTCGTTTGACTGTTATTACAGTTTGTTAAATGTTCTTTAACGGTTTCATCATTACCGAGGATTTCATGACTTTCTTGATCATCTATTATCTGCCTGAAATTATAAAGTATATAAATATAGAAATTTAGTCAGCTTATGGTGGAAATATGATTAAAATAATATTTTAGGTAGTTAGGAAATATTATTTAATTATATTGAAAAAATGTATGTAACACGTTTGATAGGTGACTGGAAAGGGCATGTTTGATGTCACTATGTCGTTCATCATAATATTTCATTGTAATTTGATTATATGTATATTACATAGTAATTATATTTTTAAGATATTAATTAAGTTTAATATCTAGTTTAAATAAGTTCGTTTTTTATTTAAATAAAATAAATGCAATAAAAAAATTGGAGAGTGGACTTTTAACTCCGTAAATAGTCACAGTAATAACTTGAATGCAAGTTTCTCTTCCTCAAAATGTTTAATCGTATTTTTAGTCAATATTGCACTTCCGGTTGCAATTGCTAGGATGAATTGTATGGAAAGTTTTATAGTTTTTAATTTTAAAATAGGCTTGTGGCATAAAATGCATCTCCGATATTGTTCAACGATATTGTAAACGTTAGCAAGAGTAGATTCTTGATGTTTCAGCTATAAGTTTACTAACTTGTTGATGAGGTCAATTGTTTTTTGTTCTGAAGTCTACAGGATTTTCTACCTTTTGGGCTAGACCATGACTATTTTTGTGGCCAATTGTTTTTTATAATTCTTCGGCAACAAGGCACCCCCGATATTTGGCTTGATGTGCTTCGCCACAGGTACACCGTTAGGCTGCTGTTTCTCTGGTTTTGAACATTCAGATGTCTTATGCTTATCGGCGCACTTAACGCATCTTGGTTGTTTGCCACAATAGCGTGGCCAAATGACTAGCAATGTTTGCATTGTGTCTTAGGCAGTTTTACCGATTCAATGGAAACAATTAAATTTGATATAGTTTTGGTTTCGTAAATCTTTTTCATGTTCTCCATGGGATCGAACGTTACCAAAAATATGTTGAGGACCGTTTTCGTTGTCCATTGTAGCTGATTGACAGCTCTCAGCGCATTTAATCCTTGTTCTTTTAAGTCATTAGTAATCGAAATCAAAAATTTTAATTGGGCGTGTTTGCTTATTTTCAAAGCTGTACCAAGATATTCCTACCCAAAAGTGCTTTTTATATGCATCTTGAGTCTTCTATGGAGAAAGGGTTTACCTTGTATATCCCATTATTTTTTGAAAATTTAATGGTAAAATTGTTTTTTTCTTCCGATTTTGCAATAAATTGTTCCTGATTATTGACCCGAACTATTTTATTGGGATAAGGAGTTTTAATATGGTTTCATCAGTTTTTTTAGGAAGGTCAAGAGAATATCCGCTTTTCGTTTTTTAGCTTGTGTGCTGTGCGTGAAAAAGTGTTTTTGAGTAAAGTTGTTCTTCTTTCCTTTAATATGTAGAAACCTATGTCGGAAGTCATCGTATTTGGTGGAAGTTTATGGTGAACATACTCTAACTGACAAATGTTTGAATATTGGGAGTTGGAAGTATTTCTCAGCCATTTCAAAATGTTTAAAAGTAGACTCAAGGATATTGGATGCCATATGAATTGAAGTCAATAGCCAATAGTTGAAAGCTGATTTTGAATTACAGAAATGCTGCTACAACGCTATAAGAAAGAGTCGTTTTTACATCGGATTTCAACAACCATAAATTCAAAAAATACAGAACCACTTAAATACGGTGGACATCAGCACAACGTATTGAAATTGTCTTAATCATTCTTGGTCGCTGAGCCGGCCCAATTATTATGGAAGGAAATCCACAAATTTCCAGAAACATAGGGACTTTTCTAGCATTAGCACTAGAGAAAACGAATTTGTCCAACAGTATTATGTTATTATGAAAATATGAGGCACTTTCAGTTTTCTCAAAATATTTTAATTATAAAAACTCATATTCACAGCGTAAAATAATATTGTTTACCTAACATTATATTTAACTACTGTAATTAGTGGTGAAGATATGAAGTTATGTATCTTTTATCAAAATAGATGAATTGGATCCCGGATAAAAAGTGTGACATATTGATACAAGTTGATATACATATACAAGTGTTTGGTATCAGTTATAAAAGAATCGGCCAATACCGTGAACAGGGACGAGCTATGGTAATGTTTATTACACGAGTGGAACCGAATCCCGGACAGTTTTATTTAAAACGTAATAAAAGCGTCATTAAAAATAGAGTACTAAAAATACATAAATAAGCAAAACTAAAACATTTGTTTAAAAATAAATTAGAAAACAAAACACTAAAGATTTTATTGAGTTTTGTTGTATTTTCGTATTTTTGTGAAGGTTTAAAATAAAATGTAGAAAAATTTGATCGGTACTGAAAATATTATTCCAGAATATTTCTCACTTATATATAAATAGCATATTAATCCTTTTTTAGTGAAGACGGTTTTTTATTTATCGGAACGAAGAAAATGGGTTATTATGTTTGTTTATATACTTTTTATACTTTTTTTTTAAGGGAGAGTTCGTAAAGAGCGTCACTCTCTTATGTTATTATATATTTTCATAATTGAATTATATTTATATAATGTTTGGTTGGTAGAAAACGTGCTTCATCGTAAGGAAATATTTTTAATCGTTACTGTCAAATTATCTGCTTTTATGTCTTTCTCTAAATTTCTCATTTTCTCTTTGATGATTTTGGTCTTTTCGTAATCTATTCGTATTCAGTTGTCACTCAAAACCACATAGTTGTTGGCTGAAATTATTGAAAAATATATTATCGAATCATCAAGCCAGAGCAAAACAGTTGTTTTTGACATTATTGATAAAAAAGAATTTTTTTGACATCTTTTCTTTTTGTACTAACGACGTAACCTTATATAACTGATTCCTGATTTTACTTATCAGCTTTTAAAATATGTTTACATAATTTTTAGTTAAGTTTTACTTACATACTTTAACTTTAGCAAAATATAAATACACACAAGTAAATAGAGCTTTTTGCAGATATCGGTTTAGTAGTTTGGAATACTATTGAAGTTCACTAATAAATAATCCTCTTCCTACTGAAGACTTTTAAACATTATTAAGTTATACGTGAGATATTATTTATGCAGATAATTCTATGTTATTATATCAACCAAATACGTATATAAGGTCACTAAGAATTTAAAGTTGTTCGCCTTATTTGAACCGTGCTTAGTAACTGCTAAGATTCGAACGACAACTGACTAAAGACATGACACTGGATTAAGATTAAGCCCAAAGTTTAGCGAGCTGATAACGCAGCTCAATTTTGTGCACACATATACAAATGTTTGAATGAAGTGTGTATGAACTATATATATGTAGCTGTGCAAGTATTCATTCTTATTTTTATAAATGCGTATGTATGTTTCCAACCCACAACAGAATTGTTCAGTTCGTAGATAAGGTGAAAAAGGAAGTAATATTTATTTTGAAGTAATAAATACGAATATGAACCCACATCTTTCTTTAGATTCGATTTTTTTATAAATTTAAAATATTCAGTTATATCTTATAGTGTCATTGCGGTTTGAACAGTGTTGAAAAATTAAATGTAAAGTATCCTGCAAAACTTGACATCTCGAACTCTAAAGCAAAAAAATATTTTTTCAAAACAGATTTTACATTTGTAAAAGAACATCAAATCGAACAATCAACTTTGTTCTGTTTCTACAATTAGTCAGCCAACTATAATTTTTTCCACATAAATACCAGTGCTGTGAAGTCCTCCGAAACAATGACACAAGGTACAAATCGGGACATATTGATTAGTTAAACGAATGAATATAACTGTTGAACAGTGTATCAAACCCAACAATACAACTCACAATGTAAAATTTTAGATTTTTATAATTAAACCTAAAGCTATTTGAGTATATTCCATTTTTAATATTCTTTGACAGAAGTCATTAAGGCATCATTTTGAACAAATAGAATAAAGTATAATAAACGCGGAATTTTAACGAGCCTTTATTTAAATGTAACATACTACATATTTTTATGCTCTCGCAATATGTTGCATAAATTATAATAAATTGTTCAACTAACTGTTGTTTGTAACAACTAAAAGTAATCGAGATAGGTATAGAGTTATTACAAAATAAGCGTTAACTTGAGTAAAAATTTAAATATTTTGATGGAATTTACTATTTGTATTATCGATTAGAGATGGTACGGAAAAAATTAATGTTATATGGTAAAAAATGGGTGTTGCACCACTTTGTTTTACGTCAAATCCACTATTCCAGCAACTACTCAACTACTTTCCAATTGTATCGGTATAAAAGATTGCACAGCACCTCCACTAAGTGGTACCTCCCAATTAAAAATGATCCACAATTCATCCGACAGCTACAATTAACATTGGCGGTAAATATTTAAGGTACATATACATATACTTCTTATTACTTTAGAATACAATTTTCCGTCTTACGAACTCGTATTTGCCTATTAACTTACTACAAACGTGTCCTGCTGGGTAACTATTATATTATGAACACATATTACTATTAAATATTATGCACACATATGTATGTATATATGTATATTGCATTCTGTTTCGGATTCATGTTATTGAACCCAGCTTAAAAGAGTTTCTTATCATCGAGACCTACTTGAAAAGTGCTATAGTCCTGAACACAGAACTGATATAAAAATTCATGTCATATGAAATTACAACTAAAATTAGTTTAGATTAATATCTTTGAATAATTAATTTCAATAATATTTTTTGTTTTCAACAATTTGCATGAAATGCTAACGAATTATTTGAGCAGGTTGGTAAAGAGCGTTAGTATATTAAGTTTAGTCTGTCTGTTGTTGTGGCCGAATATAACAATTACTTTGTGCATATGGAAGGCAACTACGAGTGAATGTTTTTGGGTGCGATAGCTTGGATGAACTTAAATATAGTATATAATATTTTTAAATATGTACATACAGATGTACTGCACATGAGTGACTTGTTTATACTCTCGAAAAATGTTGCACATAGTCTCATTGTTGTTCTAACGGTTGTTCTTTGTAGGGTTGTACATATTATATATATGTATACGTATATAAATGATCAGAATGACGAGACGAGTGCAAGCGATAATTTGAGTAAAAACTGAGATATTTTGATGAAACTTGGTACGTGTTTCTTTTAAAAACGGCCATAGCTAAGAACTAAATTAGTCAAAGTGTCGTTATTGTCATGTGGTTGTTGTATGGCTCCTGAGTTAAATTTTATGTGCTCGCCTGATCTAGGTGACCTTCTTTATTTGAATTTTTTTTTTGTAATTTTTGAACTTTTAAGAAATTACGAACGAGTTGGTGAAACTAGTGAAACGGTTGTGTTTACTAACTATATTTCTAACCTCGCAAGTTAAAAATCTCATTCTTATACCATTTGATTAATTTGATTAATGTACCCATAGATCTATTTAATAAGTTTTATGTAATACAATTGGCAAAAGTTAGAAAGTGGTGGCCAAAATAAAGCTTTAAGTCATTCTACAAGGTGTATTTCAAAGTAAACAGGACTTTTTGAATTTAGCACTCCCTGTGAAGTTTTTGCATTTTAAGTGTCAGTATGTTTGTCCACAGTACAACAGTTAATCTGGGGGGTGAGAAATTCCAAGTCAGGGTGATGGTACTAGGTCAGTATAGTAAAACCCTCAAAGGGTTTGGCGTTCGTATGTTGTTTTTTATGACCTTATGACCCAACAAAAAAAAAAAAACAAAATTTCCGAGAATGCTCTTAACATCCTTGCGACAGAAACATCGTAGCTGTTAGAACGATGCTTTCCCAACAAGCCGGTTTTTTTTTGTTTTTTTTTTTTTTGTTTTCTGGTTTTTGCCAAAATGTTACCACTAAGCGAAAAAACATCAAGATAAGGAAAAACGGGGTCATAAGGTCGGAAAACAGAACTGACACATACGAACGCCAAACCGTTTGAGGGTTTTACTATACTGACCTAGTACCATCACCCTGACTTGGAATTTCTCACCTCCTAGACAATAATCCCAAAAATGTTCCACGGCGTTATTATTTAAAATGCAGATAACACAATTTGCTATACAGTTTTTGATTTTTATAAACTGGTTAGTAATTTTTCGAAACCTTAGTTATTATAATTTATTTAACCGAGGAATTAAATTTTCGTTTAGGCTTAGTAATTATTCTTAAATTTAATCTTGTTTTGAGTTTACTAACTAAATATAGTAATTTTTCTCGACTATCGTTGGTTGTGCGTGAACGGTGTATTAAATTTTGGGGGAATCGCTGATCGATTGACAGTGTGCACATTGTTTTGTTTTTAAATATCAATTTATTATGCTCGTTTTACGATATTATAGTTACCTAGATTATTTGATTAGTGGCGGTTATGCTCTCTCCCACAGATTTACTATTTTTTATAGGTAGAACTGATTGTCATAGTCGGGCTCGGGTGTCACCCGTTTAGGGTCCGCCCCTGCCGCTCTCCCCTAGCTACGCCACTGGTTCATATTAATATTTATTCACTTTTTCGTGAGCAATAATTAAATTAAATTCTATTTATTTATAGTTTGAAAATTTTCAGCTGTTTAATTATCTGTAAAAAAATCAAATTTAAGGTTGACAATGAATTGCTTCAACTTCAACTTAAGTGAATGGAGTTGAAAACCGTAATAAGGGCATATGTTAAACATTTAAACTTTGAAATTTGAAAATCTTTCAAAGTGAGTGTGGCTTCGCACCTAACAGTATTAATGTATATATCTCCCAAACCATTCTTTACGGTCTGAAGATAAGGAAAATTGGACTATGGTTGTGACACCGCCTACATTTAGTGAAACTCACATATTTTCGGATCTACTAAACCAATTTCAATCAAATTCGGTATATAGGAATATTTTGACATTCCCATGCTAAAACGTCCGGTGTGTTTAACGTGGGTACCTACTGACGACAGCCTTACTCCACGGCACTCAAAAGTACAGCGGATCAAATCAATGCGTTGATCAGCGCTCTGAGAATGCTATGCATTTTAAGTACCAATTGGCAGTGTAGAATGGACACACTAACCACCTTGGTCAGGTTCGAGGCCCATCTAAAACCTCTGCCGTTCTTTGGGTCCGGCACCCGGTTGCAATGCAACTCCACATTCGACTGACGAAGTCAGTTCTTCCCGCATTTTAGCGACAACCACCACGATACTCCCCGAGGGGCCAGTCCGCATAAGCAGGTTGTAGTTACCTCCAAGGGCTCCTGCTCCCCGTGGTACCAGAATTAAGTCTCCGGTCAGACCTCGTAGCCGAAACTACTAYCAGTTGAGCTTCCATACGGCTCTGGACTGGTGGCCAGGGGTTGGACCCCATACATACATCACATACACACACCAATCATACAAATCTAACCCAAATTTCCAACTAACCGCTTAAATAATTCAAGCGCAAACAACCCTAACTGTTCGGTATTCCGCCTAGTGGAGATCACACCATTAACATCTAATTGTTCATCAGTCCAGCTAATCCCCATACCACCCAGATCCCTAGTGTCCGAGTACATTGGGCACTCCGCAATTAGATGCGACACACAAAAACACCCCGACCTATCCGATAGGTGCCTTTGATGCAAAAACGCATTCAGAGGCCCATGCCCCGTAAGCAGAAAACTCAGATTCAGACAAAATCTGAAGTCTGGGTTATCCTCAACGAACCCAACGTCCCGAATGTACTCGTACGTCACTCGGCCGTAAGGACTATTGTCCCAACGTTCTTGCCACCTACACCTAATCCTATCATCTAGGAGCCTCTTGCTCCCTAGATATCCCTCCCTCTCCACATCATCGTCAGCAATTCAATCGTTCCGCAGCAACGACATACTCAAACCCCTTCTTAACCTGAATGCAACAGCWCGCTGTATGACAATCAGGTCAAGAGGGGGTGCACCTAATAAAACCTGCATCGCATCCGTTGAGACGGTGCGACATACAGGCAAACAAGCAAGCATCATACATCGCTGGATTAAGAGGAGTTTTTGAGACCCCCCAGACAGTCGTGGCTGCCTCCCATCATACAGGGGCTCCATATGTGGCACAGGCCACAAACAAGCCACGATATATAATAATACCCAACGATTACCCTCCTCCCGCCCAACCGACGCGCGGGGCGCAATCCGCGAACGAGCGAAATTAGCCGAGTCATAAAAGGCAAGAGGGTTTT